TTGTTCAGAAGTGCAGGTAACAGCTTGGGCTTCCACCTGATGTTGAAAAGGAGGACAGTCTTAGAAGACTGAGTCCTGAGCCTGTGGTTTCTGATGCTCTCTATAGGTACAAATTATCAGAGTTGAGTGAATTCTCAGATACCTGGCTGTGTCTTAGATTTACTTACTGTGTGGGAAGCCTCTCTATATATTCAGGTTGGAATTGAACCCAGGAACTCTTTCACATACTGCACATATTAATGTCTGCCCCATAGGTCTGATGATGGAAAGACTGCTTCAACTATGCCCAGCTATTCAGTGATCTGAGACGACAAATATGTGTGGTTGTGTATGAATGTGCATGTGTGGTACAAGTTGTGTGGTGTGCATGTGTATTTTACTCCTTAGGATAATATAAATATTTTTAGCAGTACTAGTCAGTTGGACATGGTAAGACATGATTGAAAATAATCTCACATTTTTGAGGTTAAATACTCATTTTTGGCTTAGTAACAATGCCTCCTGCAGGAGTGGAAACTGTGTCATTATGCCATTTAGGTAAGTACTGGATTACCTGACTCTGCTACTTTATAATTAACAAAGCTCTTTGCAATCCTTTTTTGATTATGACAGAAAATGCCTTGCATTTTGAGGAAATGAGGACATACATAGTCTTGATATCAACATTTTGCTTGTATTATCATAATTTGATGTTCTGTGTTCTCATACAAAATTTACTGTTTATTAAATTTATAATGAGTAATTTGGCACACAGAAGCCAGGTTCTAAAGTTTACATTTAAAAACACAATGGATCCATTTACTTCATTAAAATAAAGGCAGAAATGGACGTGGTCTTAAGGAGTAAAATATTTATAGCTGTTAAAATGTATGTACTGTATTCCACAAATCATAGAAGGACTGAGTAGGAAGGACACATTTAAAATGATCATTTTTGCATCTAGATCCCTATTATATAACCTCTCCTAAATAGCATCCTATTAAAGTAACTTTAAAAGAGTTGGCCAAAATGGAGATTGTGGATCTTCCTGGTAGCCTGTCTCTGCCACTAAATGTATAGGACAACTGGTCCTTGTGCTCTGAAAAATAATTTCACATAAACTTCAAAATAGTAGGAAATCATGTGTTTGTATTTCTCTATTATCTCTCCATCACAGAGATACATCTCGAGAGAAACATATGTTTTTTTTTTTAAAAAAAACTCTATTTATACATTGACTTATATTGTACTGCTTTAATTTTTAGGATTATATTTCAATTTATCCTTTTTTCATAATTATCTTTCCAATTTTTCATCTTTTATTCACTTCTCAGATTTAAAAATGAACAGCTTATTAACGGTGCATAGTTATATACAAATTTTTACATTTGTCTCTCTTTATGTGAGACTTTGAGGAAGTAATTTTACTTCTCTGAGTCTGCTTCTTTTGAAAGCTCAGACTCACTGTAATAAATGTAAATAGATGAATGTTTTGGTTATTTGATGGCCTTCACCACTGTCTTGTCTTTGTGTACGGGTAACTGCATCCACCTGGACTTGATATTTAGGCCATCATTTTCTTGAGTTTTAACTACAGAGTATCTAGATTATTTTGTTTTGCATTTCTATACGTGATCTTAGCCAAAAGGCTGAGAAATGTTTGTTTTGCATTTCTTAAAAAACCAACTTATAGAAGAAAAAGGAAACTAAAGACAGAAATCTAGCTAGGCCATTGTCTTGCCATGGAGGAAAGCTCAGTGTATTCTGGATCCTTCAAAACAGAAGGAATTTCAGCAACAATCAAGGAAAATGTGCAATTTTTGGCACCTGGAATTTAAATGATTGTTTTCTTTATTAATTATCCCTTCAGGTAAAGCAATCTCAGACTATGTTGTTGAACAAGTGTTAAATAACATATTTTCTGATTCAGAATTACTCTTTGTAGTCCCAGTAAAGGAGTTGAGAAAATTCTGAATTGTTCTGAACAAGAAGGAAAGATCTTTAACCTATACGTCTTGTGTTTATACTTTTTCCTTGATAACATTAAGTGAAACCAGTTTTGCTGCATTTATTCCTTGAACATTTTATGAATAAGAAAAACTGGATATTTTTGGAATATACCTACATGTCTTTCATGTTCCATGAGTTGATTTGGGACATCCAAGCAAAGTCTTCTGCATTATCTTTCCTGTACAGCCCTGCTAATCCAATTTCTGTACCTCACACCTCTGGTCCACGCTGAATTGCCTGCATGTAAGAATGAGGAAGGTCAGTTTGAAGCAAGAGTCCACAGTCCGAGGGACTTACTTTATGATGTCCATTTAAAAAGAAGCCCTTAAAATAATGCTTTAAAAAACTTATTTACTTGGAGACAAACCCACTGCTGGGCTGACAGCTGTGCTCAGAGTCATTCTTATTTATTATCTCGGGCTGGACATCTTACCTCCGCTTGTCTCTTTGACACAGTAAATCTCAAACTTTTGCCTGTGAGGCCATTTCAAATTACCAGACACTACAGGAGGTAAAACATCCAGTTATCCACATTTGTCCTTGACTTCATCTAGCAGCTCATCCAGCACAATCTCCACCTGAGGGGCCACCTGCATCCCCAGGTACTTGTTTCCTGCCTGGGAGGGTGCAGAAAAAGTTACCAACTAGGTAAAAGAGAGGAAAATGTGATAAAGATATATAAGTAAGTAACTTTCCATACTTCTTAATAACTATTAATTACAGAGTAGTTCATCTTTGCATAAGTTTGTTGCCAGTTTTATTATAACAACATTATACAGTTAAAGATTTAACAGATAGTGTTAAAATGTATAATACATCAAACAAAAAGGTAAAAAATTTTGCTTAAAGCAATTTTATTTTTGGTGAAAAAATAGATACATTTTTGTTTTGATTATAATTTTACATGACAAATCAATTTTAGGCTCCTCCAGAGAATACTGACATATTCCTATTTTAAAATACATTTACTTTCAGTTTTTCTTTGTCTAATCTTTATTACTATGGTATAGCTTCTTTCGCAGTTTTACCATGGAGCAAAATTCCCATTTTATGAAAAGATGGATTTTAAGAGGCAGAGTTAAAATACTTTAAATATACTTTTGAACTTGGAATAAGGGTTAATCTGATTATTAACATAATCCTTAAGTATAAACAGAGACACAAAAGAATTTTGTGTGGTCTAGATGTTAGGGCGGGGTTTTCTTGAGAAGAGGCACCCCAGTGCCAACAGCAATTAGCCGTCTTCAAGACGGGGCAGGCTGTTCCCTACAGTCCAGATCATCTCCCGGCAGGCCTTGTTTTGGCAGCAGCCTTATTCTGGGTGAGTTGGGTCCCAGGGCTGCTCAGGCTATTCTAGAAATGTCTTCCTGGAGCAGTCATGGCACCAGGGAGGAGAAAGAACACTATGTGGAGGGACATTAAAGGATACCCCCCACTCCTGTAACCTCAGGACTACACTCTTCAACTGCACACTTTCTTTCCATTTAGAAAATATATATATATATATATATTTTAAATGTGGCAACAAACAGTAAGCAGAATTTTATATACAATTGATGATAATGGGCTGGATAATGACCAGTAAAGACAGAATCGAGACAATAATATTGATAAACAATAGGGTGTTTTCTATGGGTTACCAGTCAAGGAGCTATAAAGAGCAGAAATGACTGGAAGAACTGTACTGTCATAACAGTAACAGGAGAGAAACAATATTTTCTAAACTTTCATTTACTTAACATTATTACAGTTAAAACAAACTGTTTAATGAAAAAGAAGTAAAGCTTAAAAAATAGACTTTTGCTAATCTCTTTTCATATCGCATTTTAACCTGAAATACTGCAGAGTACATATTCACAAAGTTCACTAGATATTATTCTAGTCAGTTGCCCCCTTGCTAAAGAGAAAAACCATGTTTTGTTGTCCCCAACCATCTGTAGACATTGTTATCACAATCAGCACCACTATATGTCATACATAAATTATATCTTCCCACTGGCATTTAAAGAATAAAAAGCAAATTTTTAAAAGTACAAAATATTTATACCACACTAAACTTTCCTAAATGTTCCTTGACATTTCTAGTTAAAAATAGTCTTAGCATGAGACTAGGAGGAATATAAATGTAACCAATTTCATGCAAAGGCCAAGTCCTCAGTTTGAACACAAGCTCATTAGGGTCCCCAGCACCAAGAAGATGGAAACAACCAGCTGCGACTAGTCCCTTTTTTCCAAACAGCTCAACATACTTTAACAAGTACCCTGTGACCCTTACATCATTATTAGAGACAAAAGAAAAGGTGATAGAGACAAGAATTGGGGTTTTTGACTCTAAATGCTTAATCCACTAAAGCACACTTTATTTTCAACAAAAAGCTACTTTCCTTTGGCAATGCAAAAAGAGAAGTTTGGAAAATTTCCCTCAAGATTTTCTGGAAAACATTAAGATGGCTTCGGGAAAATAGGAGTGACACGATATCCTGTTTGGGGATACGGACGAAGAATTTCTAAACTGTAATCGTGACCAGCTTATGAGAATGGCAAGTGAGCATCACATTGGATCAAGCAGGTTTGCTATATCCCATATTATGCCTTGGATAATTTGTCACAGCATCCAGATTTGGTCAGTATGTTCAGATTTGCAGTTATACTGGTCCTATCAGGTGGGAACAAGCTCTTTGGAACAGATCATATTATGTGACCATCACAGCTCTGTTGAACTACAGAGATTACCAGGAATATTGGAAATGGGACAAATCACTCTTTCCCTCACTACCACATTTTGTGTGAGAAGTGGATCCAAGGTTTCAGCGGAAGGATAAACGAGGGAATCAGAAGCCGAGTAAGTATCAGTTACCAAATAGTTACCACCCTGCAGAGGGTCAGGGATGCAAATGGCTGGCTGGAGCACAGGGCCTGGAGCACAAAAAAGGGGCACTCCTGGACTGCTTGGCAAAGGGGGGCACCTAACACACCCCAGCTGCTGGGTTCCTGGAGGATAGCCACAGGGCTCAGTTCCCAAACCACTGTCTTTGCCAAGTGTCAGACAGTGTTTGTCTAGGTCATCAACACCAAGGCTTATCTCTGCAAGTTTTTTAAATTTGATGCCGAGAGAATCTAAGAAGCTGTCATCCAGGTCATCTGTAATAAAACTGCAACACCCGATGGAGTCCTTGGGAGAGTCGTTTTCCACACTTGCGTCTTCGTCTTCACCGTGGCCTTCATGATCGTAGATCAGCAAGCAGTCATTTGCCTCCTGGCCGTCGTCGTCCTCAGCGTAGGCATGTGCTTTCTGACGGTGGAGAGGGAGAAAATCGAACAGAGGCTCACTGAAGAATATAATACTGTTCATAGCAGATAAAGTGAAAAAGAACAACTAACTCTTCTGCTGGGGGGTGGAGAGTGACTGAGCACACCCTGTGCACCCTGGGGGTGGGGTGTGGGGGGCAGCAGCTCTCGCCCAAGTGGGCACTAGTATCTGGCAAAAGTGATACTAAGTCTACACGTGAGAGCCATACTAACTGCATCTCTCATTCTAATCCATCTCTCAAAGTTCTCTCTGTTCTCCCGTCCCTGTCCCTTGTCCTGATACTTTGTCATGTCCCCTCTATTGCCACTTATTTTGGATGATTAATTCATTGCTTTTTTTTTTTTTTAACTTCTTTGGAATAGACATCTTTGAAAACGGGATGATACTATGGTCCCCTCAGAAAATTCTAAGTACTGCATTCCAGTTTCCTTTATAGATTAGGAAATACAAAATAAGCAGCTTTGTGTTCCTAAGGAGGATGATGCCGGTCCCCAACACAAATGATTCTGTGCTCCCCTATTGTTCCAGTTGGCTCTAGTTCCCTTGTGTGACTCTCTCTTCAGCCTTTTGATCAGCAGCCCAATTTTGACAGTCAACTTAGATCATCTTGTTTTGGCAAAGATTTTAACATATATAATAAAAAATATCAAACTGCAAAACTACAGTTTAGCAAAAACACCTCAAACACATATAAGATAACAAAGCCATAATTTTCCATGAAATTACCTGTGAAAAGTAGGAGTCCAGGAAATTCATGCTTATGGCTCCTTTGCTGCAGTCCCTATGGCTTCCTCCCGTGGAATGCCTTGTTCTCATTGTTCCAGACAGTCCTGTTCCACACTGTCCTGTTCCAGACAGTCCTGTTCCAGACTGTCCTGTTCCAGACTGTCCTGTTCCAGACTGTCCTATAGGGCAAACGGCTACTGAAAAGCCTCCAGCCCCTACAGTCTTGCTGCTCATTTCCATTCCTGAAGATCCATCCATCACTGTCCCTCCAACATATGTATTTGTACAAACTTCTAAAAGCAGAGGAGACATTTCTGTAACAT